CCTCTCTCTGCCCACCCCTCACCCGAGCTGCCTTTAATGCCCACATCCACCATATCTGCCAGACACTGCAGAGGAGGGGTCATGGCCAAGGGTACACTCTAACAGCCTGAGGTATTTTTGATTTTTTTTTTCTTCTTCTTCTTTGATTTTGATAGAGGAAATCAAGTCTGATACTCCAACAAGCAATTGGCTAACTGCAAAGAGTGGCAGAAAGAAGAGGTGTCCTTATACTAAACACCAAACACTGGAATTAGAGAAAGAGTTCTTATTCAATATGTATCTCACTCGAGAGCGCCGCCTAGAGATCAGTAAGAGCGTAAACCTCACTGACAGGCAGGTCAAGATTTGGTTTCAAAACCGCAGAATGAAGCTCAAGAAGATGAGCAGGGAGAACCGAATCCGGGAACTGACCGCTAATCTGACCTTCTCTTAAACCCTAACCCCGGGGGGGGCACCAGTGAGGAATGGGCACAGCACCGCCACTTGCTAAAGGCAGGAGAGACTCTGGCAAAACCCGGCATTTTCCAGTTTTGGTTTGGTTTGGTTTGGTTTTTTTTTCTGATAGAATGTGACTCTTCGTCCTTCTTTTAGCGCTGCAAGTGAATATGTATTACTATGATGAGTATATATAAAACCTAGCACGTGTAATTTATTTTTGTTCTCATCGTAATGCAGGGTAACTATTATTGAATATTATCATTTGGTCTTAACTTATTGGAACTGTCGAACATCCAAGCAATGTGACTTTTTCATGTTTTTACTAACAAAATGGTATTTATGTGGGGCTGTTACACGGGCCATAACGTTTGGACTACATTCAATACTTTAAGAAAAAGAGGTGGGGGGGAAACTTTGGGGGCGGGGGGAAAGAGAAGCACATTATAATGTAACTATCCTCGCAAATGAACTTAGAGATTGTCCTTCGTAAAATGGAATATTTCCTTCTTCTCCATTGTAGACATTTCCTTGTGGTGCATATGTGGAATAGTAGTCGTTCAGCAGCAATATGTCCTTCTTGTGCATGTTCTGTTCGCATGTATAATGCAATAAACTCTGTAAACTACTGCGATTCCTTTGGTTTTCTACAAATGTTTAAAGTACGGATGCAGACTGGTCTCCTGATCTTTCTCCATCAGCAGCTCTTTGGACTGATACACCTTCTTTGCCATTTTCTGGTC